TTTATGGAGAGACATAAAAGAAGACCTGAATAAATGGAGACACATGTCAGTTTCCTGGATTGATAGATTCAATATTGCAAAGATATTAATTTCAGCAGAATTAATCTAAGTTTTAAACACAACAGCAATAAAAAAAGAAATCAAAATCCAAATGCATTATTGGCAGGGAGGACTTAAAAAATAGTTCTAAAATTCTCCTTGAAGGTCAAATGTGTAAGAAGAACTAGAAAATATTTGAAAATAAAATCCATACCATAAAGTTAGAATAATTTGAATCACGTACTAGTGCCAGAACAGACAAAGGAATAAAAGAGAAAGTCCAGAAAAAGATGTGGGTGTTCATGAGAATTTAGTATATAACAAAGGTGACACTTTGAGTCAGTTAGGAAAGTTTGCGTTATTCAATACATTGTTGGGACAGCAGTTACCTCGGTGCTCCCCCCACCTCCCCCCACCTCCCCCCACCATGGGAAGGGCACGTGCATGTCTGTCTTGTAAAAGTTCTGTTGGCCTAATCATTCTGAAAATATTTTAGGTTATATTTTTCTGTCCTACCTTACACTGAAATAATTTCCTGGTAGATTAAAAATTTAACAACAAAGTCATTGACTACTAGAAGAAAAATTGCTAAATATATAATCTTGGGATTGAGACTGAATGTAAATATGATGTCGAAGGTAGAAACCACAATGAAAAGTTGGATAGATTTGTTTATATCAAAATTTTAAAAATTATGCATACATGTATACATGAATTAACAAAGTTGAAAGACAAACATGAAGCTCTATAAACAGGCAATTATTAAATATATAAAACACTTTTACAGGTCAATATAATAAAATAAATATTCTATAGAAAAAAATCGTTAAGGGCATCAACGGGCAATTTGTTAAAGAAGAAGTCCAACATATAAGCATAAAAAATTGTTTACATCATTAGGAATTAAAGGAATGTACATTAAAGTGACAGTAAGAACTATTTCATCCTATTAAAGTTTTCAGTATTTGCAGTAATTTTACTCTTGCACTTCAAGAGGATTACGTACCAAAATGTTAACAGCGATTATCTTTGGGTAGGGGGATTAAGGGTAGTTATCTCTCTCTTTTTTAATCTTCACCTGAGGATATATTTACTGATTTTTAGAGAGAGAGGGAGGAGTGCAGAGAGAGAGAGAGAAGTGCAGAGAAACATCAGTATGAGAGAGGAACATTGATTGGTTGTCGCCCACACATGCCCTGATCAGAGATTGAATTTACATCCTAGGTAGGTACCCTGACTGGGAATTCAACCTGCAACCTTTTGGTGTATGGGACGACTCCAACCAACTGAGCCACCTGGCCAGGGCAGTTTACTCTTTTTTTTTTGTTTTGCTTCTCTGTGGTATCAATATTTGACCTGGGCAATGAAGAAATGCACTGAATCTTAGAAAAGTGCTCAACTGGACTCTTTGGAGAGCTCATCTCTGGTGAGGGAGTGAGACTGCATTCAAGCTGGGGCCTTTCCCTGGGGCCCAGCCTGGATGGGGCCCAGCCTGGAGCTAGACAAGACATACTGAATCACCTTGGTCGCCTACAATTGACCCAGGAATTGCATCTGGGTGGCTGCTGTTTAGACAAAAGGAACGAGGTGGAGGCAGGGAAACCAGTCAGCAAGCTAGTGCAATAACAACCCAGGTGGTGATTTATAAAAATAATATGATAGATCTTGGTGTGACCACTCTCTCCAAGAAAAAAAAAATTAAATGGCATGTCTGTTCATGTTATATGGGAAGAAGGACTGGGATGACAGAAGAAGAAAGTAAAGGAAGTCAAACATGTGGATGAAGCAAATGCAGAATACATACATGAAGATGTGGCAATTTTCTATGTTGGGGTGGTTTCAGATTCAGAACCGGTCATTTCCAACATTGGGACCAGTCATGCCTGGCACCTTTTCAAAGAAAAAATGAAAGGCCACTTTAGTCACAGTACCACCCACCCATTGCAGCCTGCCTAGTATGTGACCTGTATCAAATACTGCGGTCATCTCACCTGGCTGTCAGCCTGAATCGAGATCAGCAGAGAGTCACCTTGTCTGTTGAGCCCCTGTCTACACCTGGTTCAAAAACAGGTCATGCCTCATAATTCTTCAGAGTTAATCTCTCCTTTAATTCAGTATTCAGGCTCTAGAACTTTTTCATGGAGGTGGTGCGCATGAGAATCTTTCTGTATCAAAGCAGCTCCCACTTTTGGGGAAAATGGAGTTGCCCTAGGTTGGGTTGCCTAGAAACAGCCTCAGAGGTGAGTCTTTGCTGGAGGGTTGTTAAGGTGGGGGGGCGTGGTCCTCCAGGACAACACCTACCCCGGGAGTAAAGGAAAGAGGACTGGGCATTGGTGGAAGGGGGGCTCCTCAGCCAACCCATGGACAATTTCTGGAGCTGGTCCAGATTAACTGGTCATGGGATGCATGCTGTCCCTTGGGAGAAGGCATATCTTTTTGGATGAGGCAGGTGCCTTTAGCCAAGGGAAATCTCCAGGGAAGAAGGCAGCCAAATTGCCCTTGGGTGACTGTAGAAGGCGGGGAGTGGGCTTGTTGAAATGATTTATTGTGTGGATCCAGGGGACCGAACGGAGGATTATATGCCATGGGAGGATAAAAGGAAAGATTACGTATAGAGGCAATGGTGAGACTAGTACCAGCATCACTAAGACGTTCAGAGGCGGTTATCCTCTGCAGGCCAGGGATGATAGTAAGGGAAGCAGTCACAGGATTGGCTTGATAATACCCAGAGGTCATAGAAGTAATAGAAGCCAGGTGGTGACTATAACTACCAGGATTCTGGAGGCTGGAGGCTATCATCATTACTATAACAGCTGGCAAGGTCAGAGGGGCAGCCTAGGGGGCGTGATCTGCAGGGGGTTGTGAAGGTATTTAATAGTACAAGGTGTCCCTAGGGGAAAGACAGATGGGTAGCCAGTAGGGTGCTGCTTAGCATCTACAACCAGAAGAATGTAAGCATGCAGGAGAGGGAGTCTGAAGGTGGTTGCCTCAATAAAAAGTCCTGCTCTTTGCTCAGTTCTTCGACCTGAGTCAAATTCAGACCCAGACCACAGACAGCCCATTGATTTAAAATAGGTGGCCGGGATCCCTAGGAAGAAGGGCCCAGTAACAGTGGAACAAGTATTTACTGTAATGATTATTCTATGACCTGTGATCATTTTCTCAGCTAACTATATGGTGGGGAAAGAGAAATACACAGACATTGCACAGGATCTGAAAGGATCTTGTTGCACAGAAATCCAAACTATTATCATGGGCCCTCTGTAAGAGTCACGGCTTATGGAGATCAAGTAATATAGGCCCATCCAGTGGTCATTTTCCCAGACCCCAGTCTTCATATTAGGTCTTTGGCCTTCAGCTCTCATGGTGGGGGAGACACCAGGTAAAAGCCTCTGAAACTGTCCCTTTCCTACCAATTCAAGATAATCAATCAAAACCAATATTTCATCCAAGGGAATGAGGGTGATGATGGTGAAGGTTTATGTTGCCACTAACAACCTGAAGGATGGTGGTCATCCTGTCATATCTCCATTTAATTTGCCAGCCTGGCCCCTTCAGAAATCAGGGGAATGTTTAATAGTCTACTGCAGACCAGAACTAACCATGTAGCAGCTTTGCTCACAGCCATTGTGTCAGCTCTGTGATCTGTCATAACACAGCCCACAAAGATCTGTACTACTTGGACATCCTACAGGACAGCACACCCATCTGTTACATTGATGTCATCATGCTAATCAGGTGGGATTAGCAGGAGGTGTCTAGTACACAGGTAAATTTGGTAAGACACATGTCCTTCAGAGGGTGGGAGGTAAAATCATGAAGATTCAGGGACCTGCCACTTTAGTTTTCAGGGAACTAGTGGTCAGGAATCTGCCAGGATAGTTTGCCTTTGAAGTAAAAGGCAAATTGTAAAACAAAGATAAACAAAAGAAAAAATTACTTATAAACCCTTTAAAAGTGACACGTAAAATTGTTCATAGAGTTTATATCCTTTAAGATGTTTTTTTCAGCCCTGGCTGGTGTGGTCCAGGGGATTGAGCACGAGTCTGTGAATCAAAGGGTAGCTGATTGGATTCCCACTCAGGGCACATGCCTGGGTTGCCAGTAGGGGGCGAGCGAGAGGCAACCACATTCACGTCTCCCTCTCTCCTTACCTCTCTCTAAAGATAAATAAAATAAAAATCTTAAAAAAACCCAAAACATTATTACATTAAAAAAGACGTTTTTCATTGTTTATAGAATGTAACTACAACTAATGTGGAATCATATCATTATCTTATATCTTCTTTATTTACCTATTTACTTGTTTATCGTCTGTCTGTCTTCACTGTGACATAAGCTCCAGGAAAGTTGGGTCTTTGTCTTGTTTACTGCTCTATCATCCCTGATACCTCCAATACACCTGGTGTTCCATAAATATTTTTTGGTTGAATGAATGAAGCATACTATGCACACTGTTTTTCAGCCTGCTATTTTCAACAAACTTTCAAATGCTTCAAGTTATATTTCACGTTTCCCAAAATGTGCCTCTTCATGTGAAAGCAGAGTTCTCACACTCCAGAAGCTACTATCGGTGCATCTTCAGAATCAAGAAACCTTAGTCTTTTGGAAGCCAAGTCTTTTTCCTTTCTGTTAGCACTGCCTTACAATCTACTATAGCGGGCACAACCTTGCCTGGATCGTTCTTTTTATCACCCAGCTCAGCTAAGTCTAGTTCCAACTGAAGCCGTTTCCAGGCAAACAGCGCAGCCCACTGCTACGTCCCTCTTCTGGCCATACGGTGGCGATAGAGCGGCACAGTCCTTGCTGGGACCTCGGACCCGCAGGAAGAACGTCTCCTAGCTGGGGCGTTGACTGCACGGAGTGGGCGGAGCAAAAGGTGCCCAGGCCCTAACAGAGGGCAGGAAGTGAGGAGGCGGGGCTTGTAGGATAAGTTGTGCGCTTGCGCAAGGGTCAAGTCCGTGGTGTCGCTTTCACTTTCGCAGCTGCTGGGGTCTGTCCTGGTGGGGATGTTTTTGCTCTACCTCTCTGAGTCGGCCGGGCCCAGGGGTGGGAATTTCGAGGGGTGCCGGGGTGAGGAGCGGGGGCCCGTGGGTACCCGGCGGGGTTGGGGTGGTGAGGACTGAGTTGGAGGCGGGGAGGAACAAAGGGGCGCCCTTGAGGGAATTGGGAGAGCCGGGCGTGTGGAGTCGGGAGAAGTAGAGTGAGTAGAAGAGGCATATGGGGAAGAAAGCGTCATTCTTACCCATCATTCTCTTTTGGTGGGAAATGCAACGTCTCCAGGCTGCTGCCCTGGCACTATAGAGCTGCAAATTGGCAAGTGTCTGTGTTTTCCGGGAAGACATCCTTCCTTGCCCCTCAGCCTTTCCTTCTCATTAGCGGCTCCTGTTTAAAAGAGGTGTTTCTTATTAACGCAGCATTGTGTACCTTACACCGACACCTTCCTCCATGGAAAACCGCTTCTAGGCCACTGAAGGCATCTTAAAAGTCCTCTCTTTTACTTCCTCGCTACTATTATCCTGTCTACGTCTGTCAATGAAAACCAGAAAATTTCCGGTCTAAATCGTTCTAAATAAGCTTGTCTACAACAGCAACTTGGTTTTTTTAAAAAACTGTTTAAATAATGTTAGTTGCCTATGTAAAATGAAGCAACAGTTTTTTTGTGCCATGCGGTCCTCAGTGGGGTTTTATTCCAGGGCGATGGAAAGACCTCATTTGGAATTCTGGGACTGATGAACTATAGTGACTGAGGAATGCCACGTAACCCTCCCTGGAAGTGTTTGGGTTCAGATCCGTCCTTCTCAGCCACGGTGCAGGGGTGCATTCTGACATTTGGAAGCTTAAGAATCAAGTGTGTTGCTGCCCAATTTATTTTTTTAAAGCTTTCCATCATGTGTGTACTTTGCTTGAATGATTATTTTAAAGTACATGCCCTATTTTTGTCAATCTGACAGCTGTTTCCATAGAAACTAGAGAAATAGTAATTTTCAGCAGAGTTGTTAAAACTGTCTTCCAGGCTTCAGCTGTGAGTGCCAGTGAGTGCTGTACTTGGGCATTCTGAGATGGTACTTAATTAAGGATCTGAAATGTTCTGAAAGGCTAACAATCCAAATTGTTTAATTTTCTCACATCATTAATTGAGTAATCCCAGAAGTCTGCCAGCTATGTTTGTTGACCTTCAGTTCTTTTAAGTGGGTGTGTCAGTTCTGACTTTTTTCTTGTGCTCTGTGTAGTCTAGGGGTGGGTTCTTTGAAAGTGTAAGTATAGAGTTCTCTCCCATTCTTTATTCTTAAGGATAAACCAAGGATTGTGAACTATCAGACACCATTTCTGTTCTAAGTGATACTTGATTGTCAGTGATGTAAATGATAATTTTTTTACTTATATATAATGTTATAACTTCTGTGTCAGTAGACTGCTTTTTAAAAATTTCACATAAGTCGTGAGAGATTAACAGGAGTTTGCTTGGCCCAGGAGCAGAGCTAGGTGTGCCTAGTCATAAATAGGGAAGCTTTTCTGAGCAGAGTTAAGTCAGTGGGTCTGGAGCTCAGGAATGGGTGAAGGAGGGATGAGGAAGATGCCTGGTGAAATAGAGGCAGGCCTATCGGCAATATTGAAGGAGTTTATTAAAGCCAGTGAAAACCAATGGAAATTATAAAAATAGTTACCTTTATTGGTTTGGAGGTTTACAAAAGTAAAAATAGGTGCTGTAGAAATTTACACAGCACAGAAATACATAAGGTGGAAATACTTAGTCCCTTAAAACCACCAGCTTGCCACCCAAAATAACCTCCATGAATAGTTCGGTGTATATTCCTTTAGTTATTTTAGGTGGGAGGGGAGAATAGGTCTGGTTCCACTTACTCCATGTTGACCCCGATCAGAGGTGCCAGGGTTCTATCTGGAAGGAATAACTTCATTTTAAAAAATACATCTTGCAAGTTAGGGTTATAAGCATTATGTGCTTCTTTCATTCTCTGCCCCCTTGCTGCCAATTGATAAAATCTTACTACTGTTTTTATATAATCCACTTCTTATTCCCCAATTAATTTGGCATTAAAATAAAAAGACTTCCCCCAACTAAAAATAAAAAAATGAAAAGAAGGAAAAATTCAAGTTTTTAAAGTACATGTTGAAGAAAAGAAAAAAGTATTTGTATTGCCCAAAGGCCTTGCTATAAGAGTAAGAAACCCCAAGGTAATTTAGAGTGAGATGTGTTAAAGGAAGAACAGCTGATGCTCCTAGTTTGAAAGTGTTATGTTTCCAGTCTGGTAAATAAGTATTTTCCACAGATATTTATAGTTTATTTTTTGTTTTCTAGATAATCAAGCAAAAGAAAGATGAATTTTGTCTATGGATTGCAGTATGCTACTAGAAACTGTGTTTTCTTCCGATTTAATTTACTGACCAACTGGAGAAAATGTAATGCACTAGCTGTAACCTCGCCAGACTGTCATCTGCGCCCAGTACAAATTAACTATATTGTAAATAAGTATCAGGACCTGGGAGTAGATCAGTGTGATAGATTGACTTCTCTGCCTGGAAACTTTCATTTCTATAGGACTTTTAATAACAAAAGAACAGGATATGCTTCAAGTATCAAAAGTAAGGACATTTGGATGATTAACCGAAAATGTACTGCATGGAATGACTCCTCTTCAAGACAGAAACTGATAGAAGAAGTTGCAGGAGTTCCTGCTCTTTCAGTATTGCATCCTGTAAACTCTTTTCCCATAAGAGACGTCAGGAGTTTCCACACTTCGCCACGCTTTCAAGCTGCTCCTGTTCCTCTTTTGTTGTTAATTCTTAAACCAGTGCAAAAACTACTTGCAATCATTGTTGGCAGGTAAAATGCTTTTCTAAAGAGTAAACTATTGTATTAAAGGGTATTTGTGAAATTACACTTTGAAAGAAAATTTGATTTCCTTCCTGTATTTAGCTCAAAATTAAGTTTCTAAATAGTTCTACTCAGTTTTGTTATGTAGGATTTAATGATCTTGAAATAATTTACTGTATATTATATTTAAAAAGTTACCCTTATAGAGACAGCTTTTAAAAGATTGACCTTATATATATGATTGCAAAAATAATCAGAAATGTTGACTCTAACTCATGTATGAGAGCAGTACTTTACAAACATTCCTTTTTTAGTGTATGGAATTTGAGGCCACAGATTATGGAACTGAAGAATTTTGCTTATTTAAGAATGGGTTCTTGGCTGGGTGGGGAGGTTAGTGGGTGGAGGGATTGAGCAAAAAGGAAAAAGGCCTCATGGACAACAGTGTGGTGATTGTCAGGGGGAAGGGCTATATATAGGGGGGCTAAATGATAATGGGAAGAAATACAATAAAAAAAAAAAATGGGCTTTTACACCTGAAACTAATACAAAATAATACTGAATTTAAACTGTAATTGAAAAATAAAATTTAAAGTTCTTTTAAAAAACCGAAAATTCTTTGAAAAGATCTAAAATAATTAAATGAAGGAGTTAATCTTTAAAAAAAATACAACAAAAAGAATGGCTTATTCCTAGCCACGTTAACTCTTAAACCATTAATATTTACTTATTTTTCTATTCTCAACAAGTCTTTATTATTTGCTCTTGGTAGTCCTTTATAATAATTAACATTTTTACAACCAAATAGTACTTTACATTTGTTTATACCCCTCCCCGTATAATTAATCCGGTTTCACTTTGCTTCATGGAAGATTGGAGAAAGGTAAAGTTAAGGATTATGGCCTCATAAAGCTTTCTTACGTTTGATTACAGTGAGGTCCCATCTAGCCTTCTTCTTAGCTTCCATACCAACCCAATTTTATTTTTATCAAAATTGAGGGCTTATACTCTGTAATTTATTGTGTTTTTTATGATTTGGCATTGGCATGAAGAAAATATATCGCTAGATTAGCTCTCGATTTAAGTAACAACTGTCAAAGAAAACCAGAGCTAGACAATAGTTAAAGCAGTAAAAACAACTTTTATTCAGGAGTGTTGTAGGAGAAAAGAGAGACCTCAGTACAGAACTAGAGTCAGTTCTGAATACAGCATGGGCAAGCAAGAATTTATAGCCAAGGAGCAGGGTAAGGGTCGGTGGGTGGAGAATTAGAGGAAACGTCAGTAGTGAGGAGGGATTGCCTAAACAGATCTAACAGGACTCTTTCTGAAGACAGGGGAGGAGGATCAGCTATCACCTGGGGGTTGGTGAAGGATAAGAATCCCAGTAAGCTATCAAGGGTGGTCAGATACAGAGGATGGGGGATTCTTGCTAACATTGGACAGTGAAGAGTCTGAAAGTCAAGACCTCGTTGGAAAAGGGTTCAGGAGACCCTCAGCAGAGTTTGCTGGAGGAAAGAATTTTTGTCACAAATTAGCCCAGTTCTTGGGCCATTTTCCTCCTTTTTATTGAATTAATTGGAGCAACACTGGTTAACAAAATCATACAGGTTTCAGGTGCACAATTCTATAACACATCATCTGTACACTGTATTGTTTTCACTACCCCAAGTCAAGTTTCTGTCCATCACCATTTACCCCCCCATACCCTCCTCTTTCTTCCTCCACTGCACCCCCACCCTCTGCAATTAACCACACTGTTCACTGTGTTTATGAGTTTTTTTCCCCTCAATCCCTGCGTTCCTCCAAATTCTCCTCCGTTCCGACAGCTATCAGCATGCTCTCTTCCCAAAACACTAATTCAAAAGAATATATGCATCCCTTTGTCCACTGCAGCATTATTTACAATAGCCAAGAGTTGGAAGCAGCCCAGGTGTCCATCAGTAGATAAGCAAATAAAAAAGCTGTGGGACATTTACACAATGGAGCACTACTTGGCCATAAAAAGGAAGGAAATCTTACCCTTTGTGCCAGCATGGATGGACCTGGAGAGCATTATGCTAAGTGAAATAAGCCAGTCAGAGATTCAAGTACCGTATGATTTCACTCATGTGAAGTCTAATGAACAAAATGAACTAACAAGCAAAATAGTGACAGACTGAGAGAGAGCAGGCTTGGGGGTGGGGCCTGGGTGGGAGGATTGAACAAAGAAAAACTCAAAAACCCAGTAGCTCTTTTTTCATCCTTTTAAATTACTAATTTTTAATTTTTTGTTATTGTGAGTCACCTAAAACATTCTTTTAGAGGATGTTTTCATAAGTTTAATAATAAGTCGTATGAAGTTTTAAATAGGAAAATAGTTCATAGGTTGGTTTAATCTTTGGAGGCATTTTAGGTGTGACAAGAAAATTAAGATAAAGAAGGTTATTTTATAACAAATTTTGTTAGGAGAATGATGTATGTATTTTAAATTTTTTATTGTGATTTTACAGATGAACCCACAAGGGAAATTTTTTGCCCCAGTCTTAAAAACACTGCTTATTGTCAAAATGTCTCTGGACTCTGATTAGCAGCAGAGAGTACTGTTGCCTAGTAGCAGTCGGAACTCCCCAAATGTGATCTATAAAGTCTCTCATTTTCCTATTTTCTTTGCTGATGCTCTCCTTATTACCTCTCTTTGGTCATGTTGTAGAGGGGATGGAGTTTCTGCTACTGAACAAAATTTATTTCTAAAATGAATGCTGAGGTAGTTTCCCTTGTATCTTGCTGAAGCACTGGCAGATTATGCTGAAGTCTGATGGATAGTGGGGAGAATGGAGGTTAAAGGATAGATTTATTGTATCATAACCCCTCAGATGTTTATTTGGGCAATTTATTCCCGCTTAAGTGGTAAAGTGCTTAGACTCTGGAATTACATTGCCTTCATTGCTTGGTTTTCCTATTATTTATTCCTCATCTGAGGACATGTTTATTGATTTTAGAGAGAGGGAAAGTGAGGGAGAGAGAGAGAGAAAAACATCAATCGGTTTCCTCTCACACACTCCCTGACTGGGGACCGGACCCGCAAACTAGGTATGTGCCCTGACTGAGAATTGAACCATCAAGCTTTTGGTTTGCAGGACCACCCTCCAACCAACTGAACCAACCAGCCAGGGTGCTTGGTTTTCCTCTTATTACCTCTATGGTCTTGGACAAATTACTGAACTTCCCTATGTCTCCATTTTCTCTTCTGTAACAGGGTTATTATGAAGATTAAATGAGATGACGTGTAACGATTAGAAGGGTACTTTTCATGGGGTAAACAGTCAGTAAATGTTAACCAGTGTTAGCTGTGAAATAGCTCCTCATTTAATGTTTACCTTTAAAGTAACAAGAATATTAAAATGAACTTTAGACTTTTTAACTATAGCTCCATGTAGTTGATTTTTCATCATTTCACTAAGAATTTTACAAAATTTTGAAAAAGCCATCTATAGAGACAAATATAAATTCAAGTATTTGATGACATAAAATTCTAACATAAGCATTTAGTTTTGGTGATATGAGCTGATACTATTATCAGAACTTTGAATTTTTCTTTTTGCTCTAGGGGCATAAGGAAATGGTGGCGCGCACTTCCTCCTAACAAGAAGGAACTGTTTAAAGAAAGTGTAAGGAAGAATAAATGGAAGTTATTCCTGGGTTTGAGTAGTTTTGGATTACTCTTCATAATGTTTTATTTTACTCACCTGGAAGTGAGTCCAATCACAGGAAGGACCAAGCTACTGCTATTGGGGAAAGAACATTTCAGTCTTTTATCAGAACTGGAATATCAAGCAGTAAGTAGTAAGAACTGTTTTTAATTAGGTTGCTTAATATAATACCTAAAGCAGGAAAGTTTCTTAAATATGAAAGATATACTACTTTTTTATTTTAGTCTTTGATAGGAAATTAGCATTTTCCCCCCAAAAGGCTCAGACCTTTCATACTTAGTATTCCTACTGACTATATTTCTTTCCTCCCGTTCACCCAGCCAACTCCTTTTTATCATATGTCAGCTTACATGCCACTTTTTCAGGAAATCCCTTGATTATCCAAACTGGGTTTGGCAGGGTAGCTTCTTTGGGCTCAGGGTAGGTTTCCTTCATGTCAACTGAATTATGAATCAGCTCCTTTGCAGTTATGCCCAGTGCTTGGTTATATAGTGGAGTTATTTGTCCTACTTTATTTTCTCTTTACATACTATACCTTTCCTTTAAATCACTCATCACATGGATAACATATTTATTTGCCGCTCTCTCTCCCTTGTTTGATTGAGTTCCATGGGGGCAGAGACCCTTGTCTGTTTTGTTTATGATTTTATATTGAGTACAGTGTACAAACTAGTATGTATTCAGGTCTATAGTCTGAATTTTTGTACCTTGAAATTAAAGTGGAATAAGTGGGTGTTTTGGGGGGGGGGGTAACATCAATTTTGGCAATTTATTGTATTTTTTGAATGCCCAATAAAGTTGGAACTTAGAAGCCTTAACTCCTTAGACAATATAACTCAGGTAGTTAATCATTTGGTACCACTAGTGAGCTTGTTGAGGACAGATTATCTTTTTTTAAATTATATTTTACTGATTATACTAGTACAGTTGTCCTGATTTTTACCCCTTTGCCCCCTTGCACTCAGCACTGCCCCCACTCCCTCAGGCAATTCCCTTCACCCTTGTCCATGTCCACCAGTCATGTGTGTAAGTTCTTTGGCTACTCCCTTTACTGTACTGTACTTTATGTTCCCTTGGCTATTCTGTAACTATCTATTTGTACTTAATCCCCTCACCTCTCACCCTTTTATCCATAACCCTCCCCACCCCCGCCACCTCTTTATATTTAACCTTTGGCATTTTAATTTTGATGTGTCTTGGAGTGGGCCTCTTTGCATCCATCTTGTTTGGGACTCTGTGCTACCTGGACTGGCATGTCTATTTCCTTCACCAAATTAGGGAAGTTTTTTTTTCATTATTTTTTCAAATAGATTTCCATTTTCTTGCTCTTTCTTTTCTCCTTCTGGCACCCCTATGAAATGAATGTTGGATTGCTTAAAGTTGTCCCACAGGCTGTTTACACTATCCTCGTTTTTTTAAGATTTTCTTTTCTTTTAATGGGTTGTTTTTTGTTCCCTTATGTACCAAATCATTAATTTGATTCTTGGCCTCATCCACTCTACCGTTGTTTCCCTGTAAATTGTTCTTTATTTCAACTAGTGTATCTTTCGTTTCTGACTGGATCTTTTTTATGCTGTGGATGTCCTCACTAAGTTCCTGGAGCATCCTCATAACCAGTGTTTTGAACTCTGCATCTGATAGATTGCTTTTCTCTATTTTGTTTAGTTCTTTTTCTGGAGTTTTGACCTGTTCTTTCATTTGGGGCATGTTTCTTTGTCTGCTCATTTGGGCAGCCTCCCTGTGTTTGTTTCTGTGTATTAGGTAGAGCTGCTATAACTCTGTGTCTTGGTAGTGTGGCCTAATGTAGTAGGTGTTCTGTAGGGTCCGGTGGCACAGCCTCCCCTTTCACTCAAGCTGAGTACTTGAGGTGCGCCTTTCATGTGGGCTGAGTACACCTTCCTCTTGTAGGTGATCCTTGGTTGCTGTTGGCAGATCAATGGGAGGGATTCACCCAGGCCAGTCAACTGCAAGGATTGGCTGTGACCACTGACCACCAACCTCTTCCCTCTGTGGAGGATCAGCTGTGCAGGGGCAGGGTGGCGGCACTCCTATGTGGTCTACAGCTGTCCACTGGGTGTACTGGCCAAGGGGTTTCCTGGGTGGTGCAGGTCAATGTCAGCCCCACCTGTGTTTTGCCTGGGGCCCCCCTGCCTGAGCTATAAAACAATTTGAGGTGGCTGCTACTTGTGCTGTACTTGGAGATTTCCCAAGTTGTGAATCTAGGCTGCTAGTTCCAGGCATGGAGCTCACTGAGGCCAGCTGTTGCTTGTTTGATAGGATTTAGGAAGTTGTGAAGCAGGAGCCAAGACCAGCCATTCCTGTGGAAAAGCAGCTTGGGTGGGGCAGAGTCTGGGGATTTCCGAGGCACGGGGAGAGAGAAGCGGGTGGCAAACAGTGTTAGCCAAGCTGATGGAATCTTAGTGCAGCAGTCTCCCAGCTCTGTGAGCAGGAGGGCCCAGAAAGGGGACAATGGTCTCACTTGCATAGATGCCAGACACCTTAGCCTCCCCCTGCTCATCACTGGTGCCCCTCAAGCTGCCAACCTGGTGTAGGAGCCCAGAAGGAGTGAGTCTGAGTAGGCAAGTCTGTGTGTGGGTTCTTTAAGAGGAACTGCCTGGAGCTCCAAAAGTTTCTTCCACCAATTCAACCTCCACTGGTTTTTACAGCCAGAAATTGTGGGAAGGTATTGTCCTGGCACTGGAACCCTTGCCTGGTGGGCCTGATATGGGGCTGGGACATCTTCTCCTGAGATATCCGTCCCTAGTTTTTATCCATCACACTTGAATATGGGACCTGCCAGTTCAACATCTGCGCTTCTCCTAACAGTATGGATGGATGTGATTTCTTTAATTCTGTAGTTGTCAGACTTCTATTCAACTCAATTTCTGTCAGTTCTGAGAAATTTTGTTGTGGATGTGAGAAGAAGCAAGCCATGTCTTCTATGTCGCCATCTTGACCGGAAGTCCCAGATCATCTTTCTATCTTCAGTGAATAGCACATTCATAGTATGTGCTCAATCAATGTTTTCTGAAGTCCCATAGCCTTACTTGATAGCTTTGCCAGGGTTAGATCTTTGTATCTTTTGTTCCAATTGAGTTTCTGAGTTTGTCAATGGAGAGTTACCACGAAAAAAATAATTTTTTTTTCACTAGAATGTCTTCTAGGACATCCTTTCTGGTAGAATTTATAAAGGAATTTGAGATGTTTCTTAGAATGTAGTCTAGTCAGAGGCAAGTTTGAGGAAAGTGTTCTGGAAAGACTGAGACAGGCCAACTTCAACCATTCACATCACTAAGGAACTATAAAAAATTAGGTACGTACATATATTCTCTTATTATTTTTTAAACTACGAATGTAATACCTGCTTGATATGAACATTCTAACACATGTTCTTATACTGCTACTATAAAGTACTGTAATTAACACTACTAGTTCCCCCTTATTTGTGGTTTCACTTTCCATGGTTTGTTACCCATGGTCCACTGTAGTCCAAAAATATTAAATGGAAAATTCCAGAAAAAAACCAATTCATAAGTTTTAAATTACTATATTCTGCTGTGTATACTGCGCTCGTGTGTATAATGCACACCTATGTTTTTGGCCTAATCTTTCAGGAAAAAAAACTTTTGTTTTAATTTTTTAATTAAAAACTTTCTATTATTTAGATACTTTTTTGTATCTAAGTTTTTTGTATTATAAAGGAATTTTAGCATTTATTGTTGAACATATTATGGTATAAGAAATTTTATGTAACAACTAATCATAAAACACAAGAACATATACACAGTGTTTCAGGTACTACCCATGTATAATGTACATCCTTATTTTTCCCTCAAAAATTTGGACAAAAAAGTGCACATTATACATGGCAAAATATGGTACATGCCATTCTGAGTATTTCATCTCTTCACGTAGGTATTGTATCATCTCACATCATTATAAGGAGGAGAATATTAGGAAGAAGCACAATATGCTATTTTGAGAGAGACTGCATTCACATAACTTATTGCAATTACACTATTTGTTATACTTGTTTTCTTTTATTATTAGTTGTTGTTATTAATCTCTTATGCCTAATTTATAGATTCAACTTTATTACAAGTATGTATTTATAGGAAAAAAACATAGTATGTGTAGGGTTCAGTACTATCTGCTGTTTAAGGCATCCACAGAAGGTCTTGGTATATATCGTTCACAGATAAGGGAGGACTACTTACATATAATCTTCCTTGTTTTATTTATATCAGGAGGGTTAATATAATTTTTTTTCTTTTTTTTCAGACAGTTTACAGTGTTGACTTAGGCTTTTTAAAAACTCTAATTGGTATAAAGACTTACAAATTCATAGTCTACAAAATCCCCTATTTTTAATCATCTCTAGGAAAACACTTACAAACTTGTTGGTTTATGTGCCAAAGAAATTATATATTTAATGGAAATTAAAGTAATATTTTCAGAACATCGTTGTTTTCAGTACACTTGAAAAGATCTTTCATGAATATTTTTTCAGAAAAGTTTTCTTTATGTGGTGGTTAATCTTCATCAGCATAATATAGAGAAAATAATATGCACCATGGTTCTGAAATTTCAGTAATTTCCTTTCACTCTGTGTGAATAAAACACTTAAAATTAATAAAATGTATTTTCTTGTAGAAGTTTAACTTTCTTATTAAGCGTAGGGTGTTTTTCTATTCAGTGGATTATGAAAGTAATTTTCTTTTGTATTTCACTTTCTTATATGAAATCTTTATGCTCTCTAGGCAATGCTTTGTTTTTCTAAAATACTTAGAAAAATAGAAATAATATAAACATTTTATTTATTTATATGCTAATAGAAAAAAATGAATTTTTATTTGAACTAATTTATATGAAAAAATCTTAGTTATTACAGTTTATTTAACTTGTGCAAAACCATATTGCCTTTGCATGAATAATGCAAATTTGAGAAATTTGAGTGTTTACTATATGCAAATTTTTACATAACTGAAAATTAGAATGTTCAACAATAAGTAACCGTGTAACTCTCATGAAATAATATAAACATTTTATAGAGCTGGAACTATTTTAATATGAAGGCTAGCCCTGGCCAGTGTGGCTCACTTGGTTGGAGCATTGCCCAATAAACCAAAAAGTTGCGGGTTCAATTCCTAGTTAGGGCATATACCTAGGTTGTGGGTTCAGTGCCTGGGCAGGGTGCGTAGGAGACGCAATTGACCAATGTTTCTCTCTCACATCAATGCTTCTCTCCTTGTTTCTCCCTTTTCCTTCCACTCTCTCTAAAATCAATAAGCATGTCCTCAGGTGAGGATAAAAATAAATGAATAAGTAAATAAAATTAAGACCGATTTTCTTTTTAATCTTTCAGTGGATGGAAGAATTCAAAAATGATATGCTAACTGAGGATGATGCCCAGTACCTGACTGTTAAAGAAGTGTTTTATCATTTAATTGAATGCAATAAAGATATTCCAGGGATTTCTGAAGTCAATTGGATTATTCATGTGGTTGATTCCCCAGATATAAATGCCTTTGTGCTTCCAGTAAGTAAATGTTCTCAAACCTAATTTTTAATTGTTAAGTTTAACTTTCTTGTTTTTTATTGTGTTCTAATTGCTTATATTATTTCCTTTATGGTACAGAATGGACACGTGTTTGCCTTCACTGGGCTTATTAGTGTGTCAGATATTCATGAGCTTTCCTTCATTCTGGGCCATGAAATAGCACATGCAGTACTTGAGCATGCTGTAAGTACCTAATATGGACATTTAGTTGTTGAAATGTTGCAGTTAGCAACTTAGATTTTTTAAGAGCTGAATCTTTTCAGTGTTCTTTTTTGGGTATGAATTTTAGTTTTCAGTAAATTGTCTTCTTCTGTTACCTGGAAAAAATGTGATTGGCTAATTTTGGGAGTTTTTATGGTCTTTAGTATTTGATAATGAATAATTAGTGTTTCTTTTAAATACCATTTTTATCACCTGTCTCTTTTGCTAGGAAGTGATTATTCTCAACCTTCAATTATTTCAAATTAGATTTAAAATTTTTTATGATTGTTAACATACTTGTAATCTAGTCAGAAAATTAATTGTAAGAAAGTGATATTACTATTTAAGTGGGTAAATCAGTTTTCTTGCTTTTTTATTCATTCTCTGAGGATGGCTTGGAGCATCTTTGAAAATGTCTAGAATGATATGCCATATATAATTAATGCTGAGTGAGAATAATGATACCTTGCCATTTTACAGTTTATTGAGCTTTTTAATATGTACCTACTCATTCATAATTTTAATACCATCCTCACGGGGTATGTATTTAATATCCCTATATTGTATATGAGGAAACCAGTGTTTAAAAAGGCTCTAAGTACCATGACCAACGTGACTAAGTGGTGGAATTGGGATTTTAACCTGCCTTTTCTTTTTGCAAGTCCAGCATTGCTTCCTTTTACCACAGTTACCTGGTTGTTGGCAGCACTTTCTTAAAAATCACAGAATTCAGATTGATTTATACTTCTGTGAGTGCACATCTGTCTAACTTGGTATGAGCCCATAAATATAATGTATTTGTTTACTCATAGTTTGTTTTTATTCATTAAAAAATGTGCATGGTGCCCTGGCTGGTGTATCTCAGTTGGTTGGAGCATCGTGCCATAAACCAGAGGGTCCTGGGTTCGATTCCTGGTCAGTGCACAAGCCTAGGTGGTGGGTTTGGTTACTGGCCTGGGAGCATACAAGAGGCAACCGATAGATGTTTCTCTCGTTCTCACCCTCTGCCTCCCTTCCCTTTGCTTGCTAAAATCAGTAAGCAAGTCCTTGGGAGGATAAAAAAAAAATATGTATGGCTCTTTTATTATCCATTCATTTATTGGTGTAGAGCAGAGAGAATATATTCAATAGTACCGTAATAACTTTGCATGGTGACAGGTGGTTATACTAGACTTAGTACGGTGATCACATCATAAAGTATACAAATGTTGAATCACTGTTGTACAATTGAAACTAATATAATATTGTATGCCAACTATACTGTAATAAAAAATTTAAAATATATGTATAGCTCTTTTGTCCACATAATTAGAGACAGGTATATTTTCTTTAATTGAAAATATGAAGGTAAATAGTGAAAGGATTGTGAAGTGCTACATAGGAAATGTAAGTAATATTAACTTTAAATGAAAATTAAAATGTTATTAATTCCTCTAAAAGATGTCTCAAATTCTATCTATTCCTTAGAGTATTAATACCATCTCATTAATATTAAGATGAGGTGGGCCAAAGTTAAGCTTTTCTGAAGCTTAAATAGTAAAAATCTTTATTTCTACTGAGTTATAGGAAAAATTTTAAAATATTTTATTTAAACAAATATACAAGAATAAATCTGAGCAGTTAAAACAGATTTTATCTTTCAAGAAGTGGCTTTAGAACTGCAAAAATCAATCAATTTTGGCCATTTTTAGCATTTAAAAGGTGTTGATATTTAATACATTTGTTTTTCTGGCATCTCATTTTAATGCTGCATTCAGCGTATTGTTATCATCTCTAGCAGTGCAAGAACAATAATTAAATGAGACATAAAAAGCGAACAGTAGCCTTAAAAATAGAAAAGTTATTAATATTTCTTTGGCAGAGGCCTTAGACATTATGAACACTGTGTTTTGGTTTTAGGAGTCTCCATTTTGATTTGATGGAGCCTTTTATTTTGTTTTCTTTATTCCACAAATACACAGAGATTTTGCTGTATAATAGCAATTCTTTAGTAATTAATAACAAGGATTTTTCTCTACTATAATGACTTCATCATTTGCAATTTTACTCTTTCATGCTAAAATAATTCCTTAATTGTTTTTCAGACCCATAGTTCTTATAATGAAGCAAAGAATGCTTTATGAGAGCAGATTATATTGTAAAGAGAAGTATTCTAATTGGTTATTTTTAGTTATCAGCCATGTTTCATTCACTGAAGTAATGATTCCTCTACTATTAGTATTAGCATTACACTGACATCTACAATCGACTTTAATGGTGAACAATGAACAATTCTGTGAGTTAAACTTATATATAGATCTTATGACTAAAAACAACTCTTTTAAGTAAAACCATTTTTGATTATTGCTATAAGTAAATACAAAAATCCATAGGACCCAATTTCCTGGTGAGAAATACTAGACTTATAAAAGTGCAAACCCATAGAAAATGAATTATACTTCATATATTAGATCACGATGGCCAAAAGATTTTTATTTAAAATAAACTAATTTTTTTCTGGATTGTTCCTTGTTTTAACTGCTTCATATGTTAGGTAGTGTTTAGTCTCTGTCTAAAAGTAAAACAAACACATTTATTTGATTTTTAAAAAGAATTAACAACTGTATGAGAAACTAAAACTTCCTGGGTTTGATTCCTTGTCCTTTTACTAATGTGAATTTGGGCAACTGTTTTAACCTGTCTCCAACTTAGTTTCTTTATCTGTAAAATAGAGATAATTGTACCTATTTCACAAGATTACTATGTTTATTAATATAAGAAACTGGAGATTAATGAACCTGACATTGTATCTGAGTGATGGTAAGTGGCTCAGTAAATGTTAATTGAATGATGAGTGAATATGTTAAGTATGTAAGCAAATGATGAGACAAACAGATTAGGAAAAGATAAAACATGTAGAAGAAAAAAACCTTATAATCTTAGTTTGTGAAGGTCATTTAAACACAAGTAATTATTTAATGTGATTGCACATGATGAATTAGAAAATGTAAGCATTACTGTTTGAATTTATTAAATGTAATATTCATTATTTTGATTATTCTCAGGCAGAAAAGGCCAGTGTGGTTCATTTGTTGGATTTCCTGAGTCTGATTTTTCTCACAATGATTTGGGCCATTTGTCCTCGAGATAGCTTGGCAATTTTGGGTCAGTGGTTACAGTCGAAATTGCAGGAGGTAAGTGTGAGACAATAAGCTGAATTTGTAATGGCCAGTGGTGAGGATAATTAATATTACTGTAAAGCAACAAATGCCAGAGATATTTTCACATGTTGTCATGATGCGTGGGTAAAAATTTTGTATTTTTTGTTTTCTCCTTTTTAGGGGATGTTGTTAATAATGAGCAGAAGATATTGTACCTCATCTCTCAAATGGTGGAGATAGATGGGTTAGAAGGGCCTAGCAACTTTGGGGCAACATAATTTTTTTTAGGCACAGTTATGATTCTTACAGAGACAACCCAGTCACGAACCCTTCCTTTCCTTCTGTCACTTTACCTTCTAACTTCCCACTTTTGTTTCTTATATTGACTGAGGTGTACTTAGTGGGTGACTCTCCAGTCCCCCAAATATTTGCATTTTGATGGGGAACTCTTAAAACCTGTAAGCTTTTATGGGCACAAGGTTGGCTGAACTGCTTTACCATCCTCACCTCCTCACTGCTAGTTAAACTAACAGTGCCTAGAAAATATTGAAAGGACAGTATTATTAGGTGTTTGTTAACTTTTGTTCTTTGTACATATGTGTAATGATAATCATCTCATAAAATGTATTCTCTCATTTTGTCCAAAACACTGCACAACTGAAAGTAGGTTCTGCAGTATTGATAATTGCTTTGTTAGATATGATTAATTATTTTATTTTACACATTTTTTCAAATATTTTGTCTTGTCCTGGGAGATTTAGTTATTTAGGAGCAATCTGTTATTTGTTTATTTAATGATTTGTGGAGCACCCATCAGAGTGGCATCTGGGTGCTATTTAAATCTAATGTGTAAAATTCTTTGAGACAAATTGCTTTCGAAATTGGATAACTAAGTCTTTTTTTCATTGTTACCATATCATTTGGCTTCATTTATATTTAAATAAATGTTCTTAAAAGGAAAAAGAAGAAATGGTTATTGCTTGGGTTATAGGATCTCATATTTTGAATTTTATTTCTGTTATGATGTGCTGGGAAGTCAAAGGAGTTAATGTAGTTTTTTCTCTATCGATAGATAGCTTTTCCTGTAATGGAATCAGAAGATTTGGTCATGAGAAAGATAAATTTTAGCTGTTTGTCTCTTGAAATACTTGGTGAATCCTGCTACTTCAGTATAAATCTTTAATTTAATAATTAAACTGAAAATAAAGTAGGTATTACTTCTGTTTGAACTTTTTCCCTTAATCAAGTATTCCCCCCAAATATTGGTGAATTTGGGCAATTGTTTTAATCTGTCTCTATCTTAGTTTCTTTATCTATAAACTACAGGGTCTGGCAGAAGTAAGGCCTGCTTGAGTGTGGTTGGTAGGGTAATAATATGGGTGTAATAATTATAGTTTTAATGTGAACATTTCACTTAAAATGTTATAAGGTGTGCTTGAGTGCGATAGTGTTATGGTACAGAATTACATGCTTAGGATTTTGTAATAAAAGATTTTGTAATAAAAAAGGAGTGTTATTTGTGCCGGAGCCTATAGATAAAGCTTTGCTTTTTGTGATTAGAGGGCAGAGGGAAATGTGTATATGAAGTCATTAAGGAAGGGCAAGTGCTAATACCTGCCAGAGAAAGGAAGAAAAGAAGAAAGGGCCCTCACTTAACCATTGGGGGGCCCTATTTTTGTAATCTTAAAGACTTGGGTATAATGTAGCAGGCCTTATTGAGCACTACGAAGCAGGATTTTGAGAGCTATTAATAATAAATAATTATAGTAGCTAACATTTATGGAGAACTTACCCTATGTTAGGCAGTAGGATAAACTATATAATAGATTAATTATGTGCAGGTGTTAAGAGTACAGGCTCTGATCAGATGGACCTATGTTTGAATTTAGACTCCTTAGACTTAAACTCTGTAGAGCCTGGGCAGGTTACTTCACTTACGTAGATCTCAGTTTCTTCATTGTAAATCGAGATAATAATATTGGCTAACTCAAAGCATTGTTGTGAAATGAATGATAAATTTAAAGCAGGATTTCTCACTGTGAGCACTATTGATATTTTGGATTGGATAATTCTTTATGGAGAGCTGGCCAGTGCATTGCAGGATGTATAGTAGCCTCTAACCATCTAGCTGCCTCTAAACAGCATTCTCCCTTCCCACCACCTGCAGCGTGTTCCACCAGACAATCAAAACAGTTTCCAAATACTGCTTCCAGAGGTCTCCAGGAGACATAGTCACATCCCTTTGAGAACCACTCATTTAAGTCATTTAACATAGAACCTGGCACAAAGTAAGGACTCAATAAATAGGAGCTATTATTAATGTTTGTTCATTTTATCCTCTCTGCAATATGTGGTGCCACTGGGCTTAGATGTTGTAAATATTGGGTTGGCCAAATAGTTCGTTTGGTTTCTTCCATAAGATAGCTTTAATAGTGCTTAGTTGTCTTTAACTTCATTTGAAACAGTTTTGTTAGATTTTATTGTGACAGTTGTCATATCAGTGTGAATTAAAAAAAAATTTATCAAAATTGGTGAATTTTTGTGTAGCCATTTTAATATTGAAGTTGGAAGAAAATACACAACATTTTTGGCATGTTATGCTTTATTATTTCAAGAAAGATAAAAATGCAGCTGAAATGCAAACAAAGATTTGTGCAGTGTATGGAGAAGGTACAGTGGCTGATTGAATGTGTCAAAGGTGATTTGCGGAATTTCTTGCTGGAGTTTTCTCCCTGGATGATGCTCAGTGGTTGGGTAGACCAGTTGAAGTTGATTGTGATTGAATAGAGACATTAATTGAGAATAATCAACATTATTTTTTAAAAAGATTTTATTTATCTATTTTTAGAAGGGAAGGGAGAAAGAGAGGTCAAGAAATATCAATGTGTGGTTGCCTCTTGCATACCGCCTACTGGGGAATTGGCCCGCAACCCAGGCATGTGCTCTGACTGGGAATCGAACCAGCGACTCTGTTTTTCCTAGGATGGCACTAAATGCACTGAGCCACACCAGCCAGGACCAGCCAACATTATTAACGTAGGAGATAGCTGACATACTCAAAAATATCCAAATTGATAAGGTTATTGGTGAAAATAAAAAATTTGTCTTCTATTTTATGGAAAAAACTAAATGAATTTTTTGGCCAACACAATGATTAGCCCAGCATGAACAGTTAGAATGTGTCAGCATTTGGACTTGAATGAACGTTAAGTCTTCTTTGAAAGCCAATGTGTTTAATTAGTTATATCATCAGTAGATTTGATGGGACATCTTTAGATGAGTCATGGAGAGTGAAGACACTATATAATATAGTTTAACAACCTAAAACAGACATTATGGAGGAGGAAGAAAGTTATATTTAATGGTCATGTGCTGTGGATCAGATTGATTATATTATTTCTAGCTATCACTGACATGTACCTTTGAAAAATTGCTTCCCCAATGAATAGCTCTTTTTCTCAAAAGTCCTGCCTATTGATCCAACTCCTACAAAGTTTTAGTACTTACCGAAAATTAGAATTTAACGGGAAAGCAGTCACATAAATACACGTAATTAGAAAAATTAAAGTTACCATATCTATTTGCACTTTAAAATTTAGGTTGGAAGTAAATTTCATTTTCCTAACCAATCAATACTTAGGAAAAAAGGAAATTAAAAATAGTTTATCAAAGAATGAACATTCTGCTCTATGGTTAATCTTTCAACTGAAATAAATTCTCTAGTAGTGTCACTGGCTATTATATAGCTATATTTTTTCAGTTTCCTTTTAAAACTGAAGATCAAATGTTCCTTGGCCATAATTAAAGACTGCATCAATAAGCTTTCTTAGGGAATCTTCTACATAGTAGATAGAGATTATAAATAGAAAAGTGGAAGTACTCTATATGATACAATAGACTCTTCAGAAGTTTGTAGGCATGATTTTTTAAATTCTGTGTTTAAAAAATATTAATCTCTGGTGGAGGAAGTAAAGACCGTACTATATCTCTTATACCATGTTCTTTAAATGTTAATAATGGAGATTTTAAAAACTTTAGATACTCCATGAAGTTAATTTTAGAAACCTCATTTTGTTGTGAAAAAACCTTAATGGAACTTTTTTTTTCTATTTCTTTTTAGTATTTGTTTAGTAGACCATACAGTAGAACATTGGAGGCCGAGGCTGACAAAATTGGACTACAGCTTGCTGCAAAGGTAAAATGTTCAGTAGCTGAGAATACACGATGTCCTTTAAATAGATAAATGTATCTTTAAAAAGATAAATGTGAATTGTCTTAATGAAGTTTGGCATGGACAGAGAATGAGAGTTAGATTGTATACAAGTTTTCATTAATATCATTTTAAATCTGTGCCCTCTGGAAGCTACTGCTCTCTCTATTTTACTCCTCTAACTTGTTTTGTGGATCTAAGGAGGCTTTTTGAGTAAATACAATGATGTGTAGCTATTTTTCCAGACTGAGAGAAAGGTTTATCATATTGTAGATAAGATCCTGGATGAGCAAACTGAATTTTTACCATTAAAATAAAGGGTAGAAGAGCAGGCTTATTAATAACTCTGAATCTTTCAGGTTATTTTTGTTATACCAAATGGCTTATTTTTGCTAGCCACAGAGAGCACTCTAGGTGTTCACCCTGATTTTAAGTTGCTTTGCTCATGTCTACTTAACATGGCACTTTATTCCTGGTTGCTATTTTTAGTCACCTGTGAAAATTAGGGGTTATTAGTTGTAGGATTTAACATTAGAAGTAAAATTGGATTTTTAAAAAATGAGTGAAAACAATGTCATTTCACATATTAGGTTAAAATTGTATTTGATTCTTTGTTGAATTTTCAGTAGTTATTAAAAAGTCCTATTAGAAAATCACTATTATTTGAACTTCTCATTATGAGTTTTATGGATTTAATTTCATAAATCAAGATATTGCTCATTCACAAAAGCAAAAGCAGTTTTTTGAATGTTACATAAGTAGAATTGAGTCAATTATCAGATTGCATAGATAAAGAGGTTCCCAAATAATGGCCCACAGATTGGCTATATCATGACTGTCCTAAAGTTAATGTACTTCAATTTATGAAATTTTCCCTCTAGGTTAGTGTGTTCTGGTTAAACAATCTTTGCCTATCTCAGTAAATTGTTTCTGTTTTATTTCCAAGAAGCTTTATTGTTTTGTTAATTTTTATATAATATGAGAAATAGGTCAAAGTAATTTTTTTTCCATATGGATATCTAATGACTCAGCACCGTTTATTGAAATCATTTTTTTTCCATTTTACTCAGTGTCTCTATCATTAATTTTGGAGGCTCTATGGAAGTTTGTTTCTGGTCTCTCTAGTCTATTTTATTGGCCTTTTATTTACTTTTGAGCCAACGTGATGTTTCTTTCCCTCTCTATCTCCCTCCCTTTCCTTCTCTCTGATCAATAAGAGAAAAGAAATCTTTATTTAAAGTTTTATTTTTCAATTACAGTTTATATTCAATATTATTTTGTATTAGTGTCAGATGTATAGCAATTAGTTGGGAAATGCTTAGCTGTTTTTTTAACACATTGCTTTTACAACATTTTTTCCCTTCTATGGCATGGAGATTACTTACATGTTAGACTTTTGTATATCTCTTGTGGGTTTTTTTTTATTTGTTTGTTTTGGTATTTTCTATCCTTGTCTCTTCATTTTTCAGCACATGTGTTTCCAGTACTGTCTTGTTCACTGATCTCATTTCAACTGTGTCCAATCTGCCATTAAACTTATCTTTGAATTTTAAATTCCAGTTATTATATTTTTCCATTCTAGAATTTCCATTTGATTCTCTTTTACAAATTTCAGTCTTCTGGTGAAATTTTCCGTTTTGTCCTAATTTTCTTGAATATGTTAATCACAATTTTTAAGAAACATTCATGATTGCTAACTGCAATATTTTTATTATCCCTGAGTCTGTTTTCATTGTCTCTCTACTTTTATTTTTTTTTTTTTTGGTCTTTGGTCTTATTTCTTAGTACTCATGCTTATTCTAGATTAAATGTTGGACATTTCTTATAAACAGTGCAATTGGCTCTGAATGATAATTTCTCCTAACATAGGAAATTCTCCCTATAGTCTGGTGGACAGATAGAATACAGAGGATCACTTTGGTCAGTCAGAGGCTGAACTGAGTTTTCATGAGTTTTAATTTACTCCTAGTTCACGTTCATTCATAAGGGTATTGCTGTCTAAGGGAGCCTACTGAAGGCTTGGTGTTTATATATACTAAGCTCCTCTATAGTGGTACTTGACCTTTACTTTTTGTTCTCAGAGCACCATGAGACTGTTGAAATCTTGAGTCAGTTTTTTGGCCACATTTTGTCAAGAAAGTGATCTGTGTAGCTTAAGAATCTGTAGATGCCATGGTGAACTGGCAGTAAAGAGCTTTCTCCATCTTTCTTGTATTTTAAATCTTGACTTGTCAAATTTAGCTGCCTTGTCAAGACTAACTTATATTTTGGCTCTCTAGCTCTGTTAAACAACCAGAAGCTCTCCTTTGTCACCTATTTCTGCTCAGATTTGAGATCTGCCCATATTTTGAGCCTCTTGCCATCCACTGCTTAAAATTTAATAAACCCAATGATTCTAATTCTGGAGATTTGTCCAAAGAAACATAAAACACTGATTTGAAAGAATATATGCACCCCTATGTTCATTGCAATATTACTTAAAATAGCTAAGGTATGGAAGCAACACAGGTGCCCATCAATAGGTGAGTGGATAAAAAAGCTGTGGTACATATATACAATGGAAGATTACTCAGCCATAAAAAAGAATGAAATTTTACCACTTGTGATAGCATGGATGGACCTAGGGGGTTTTATACTCAGTGAAATTAGCCAGTCAGAGAAATACAAATACCATATGATTTCACTTACGAGTGGACCCTAAGGAACAAAATAAATGAACAGACAAATTTGGAACAGACTCACATAGGTATCAGAGAGAACTGGTGGTGGCCAGAGGGGAGCGGCTGGGGGACTGAGTGGGTGGAAGAGGTGAAGGGACTAAGAAGCACAAATTGATAGCTATAAAATAGTCACAGGAAAGTAAGTAAAGCATAGGAAATATAGTCGATAATATTGTGATAACTATGTATGGTGCCAGCTTGGGTACTGAAAATGTCAAGGGGAACACTATGTAGAGTATATGATTGTCTAACCACTAAGCTGTACATCCGAAACCAATACGTAATAAAAATAATCAACAGATTCACTGAGGGGAAGAGTGGCACACAGAAGATCAGACTCATCTCAGTGAGTTTTCCTTCTTTCTGGAATTTTGACTTTTCTAGTCTTACCTTAGTAACTCTTCATTACTTTTGAACATACATTATTTAGATTTTATCCAGATTTTCTAAAATTTTTTTATAGGCACATTGTTCTGCTACAAGCTACTCACTCCACTAAAAGAGGAAGTTCCTAACTTAGTCTTTTTAATTGCTATCTAATCTTCGATAATATGGCTAATTCATTTAATTATGTACCTATTAATTAACATTTGGGTTGTTTTCAAATTTTTTATTATAAAAATCCTAAAATAGGCATCCTTACATACATACTTTTATGCTCCTTGGGCTTTTATAGTTATAGAATAGGATTGTTGGCATTTTTATTTTTAAAAGATAACTCTCAAGTATTCCAAAATTTTGATAGCAAGTCTTTCCAATGACATATCAGAATGCCCCCCCCTTTTATATACCTACATTAGCACTGTTTTAAGTCTCTTTAATTTTTGTTAATTTGGACAAAAATGGAATCTCATTGCTTTTAAATATTTGCATTTTCTTGCCTAGTAGTAAAGTTGAGGATATTGTTTAATTTTTATTGACTATTTTATTTCTTCTTTTATAAATAGACTTTATTATGCTTTTGTTGGGTAGATTTTTAAAAATGTATGTTCTAGGGTCCACACTTGGGAATTCTGAATCAGTAGTTAGATGATTAAGCTCTGAATCTGAATATGTTTAGGAGCTGCCAAGTGATTCTGATATCCAGGCAGATTTGGGAATTACTACTTTGAGTAATTACTACATGAATAATCAAATGCCAGTTTTGTGTTTTTGGGTAACTTAGTAAGTTAAATTTTCTGTTTTATTTTAAAAATAACAATGAAATTAGAGAAGTAAATAGAGAAATATTGATATTACTTTATAATATGCAAGCAATTTTTTTAGAAAGGGCTATATCTGAATAGATATAACTATGATTTCATTTCTAAAGCAAGCTAACTATTGTTTTGTGGACTAGGTGAACTTTTTGCCAGATGTGATATTACTTGGTTCAAAGGAGAAAACAGTATTGCTACAGATGTTAAGTCATGAGTACATAGTGGTACAGGTAATGTCTTTGTTATGGAGTACTTAGGATATAAAAATGCCATCTCTAAATACAAGTATTTATTTCCTATTAAAAGGGAGAAACAGTATAAAAGCCTCAAATATTACATTTATACTACCATTTATTCTGTGATATCACCTTTTTAGGTAATAACATCATTATCTGCCATTTAATATTTATTATAGGCCAGTAATGTCATTATTTTGTAAACATTGCCAAATCTGATCTTTATTCTAATTCCACGAACTAACTATTATGAGCATTATCTGTATTTTACAGATAAAGGAACTGAAGCCCAGATAGGTTAAGTTACTTTCTTGTTGACTAGTGACAAATGGTAAGGCCATGATTCATACCCCAGTGTATATGATTTCAAGGTTTATGCTAGTGTTTGGTTTCTGCCTCATCCCCCTACAGTAATTACATTTCTCAACATCAACTTGTCTATCTCCATGTTGTCATATTCCATATTTCCCTCTTTTTCCCACTTTTAATTCTTTTTTAAAAATTTAATTTATTTGGGCGACATTGGTTAATAAAATTATATAGGTTTCGAGTGTACAATTCCATGATACATCATCTGTATATTATTACATCGTGTGCCCACCACTCGAAGTCAAATCTTCCATCCCCATATAGTTTCTACTCTCTATCCCTTTTCTACTCTCTATCCCTCTTCTTTCTGGTAGCCACCATACTGTTGTCTGTGTAAATGAGTTTTTGTTTTCTTGTTCATTCATTTGTTGCTTTCAGCTTTATATCTCACATATGAGTGAAATCATATGATTCTTGACTTCTGATTTATTTCATTTAGCATGATATGCTGAGATCCATCC